TTCTTGATTCTGGCTATAATTATGATCCGATCTGATTCAGATTCGGCAATCTGGTAGATATGGTCATTATCTACGATACTGCGTTTTATCGTATCTTCAAAGTTGTGGCTGCCACTGATTTTTGTTCTTTGTGGGGGCGGAACCGGGCGGGCGAAATTTAGAAATACACTTGTAGCAGTGGGATATCACATGAGCCTGAAAACAAGATTTAGTTGCTCTAGCTCTTATAGTCTCTGAGATCTAAGCGACAAACAAGACGGACGGACAGACAGACTTGGCTATATCGACTCGGTTATTGATGCTGATCAAGAATATATATACTTTATGGGGTCGGAAACGTTTCCTTCTCTGCGTTACACACATCCACTTTTACCACAAATCTAATATACGGGTACGGGTACGGGTATACAAACTATTTAACTATTTTCATTTGACTGAATACTCGTTTCACGTCATCATTTGTCAGCGGCCCATTACGGACACATGCTTTTTGCTGGCCTACAGCAGTAGGCTTCGTTGTGTCTGTGGGAACTTTGGGCGCCAATGTTTTAATACACCACTTTACGTTATTTACACACCACACAACACAAGGCGGCAAACCATTGTTCCTTTTCGTAGAAAAATAGATTCTGGAAATTTAATTACGAAAAAAAATAGAAACTTTTTAATGCTTGTGGACTTTTAGGGATAAGGATAGAAGCATATTCCCACCATTAGCTATTCATTAAATCCTCGACGAACGTAAAACTAATATTTATATCTGATTGATGCTTATTAGATTGATACCACTTCATCGACAAAAGATAATCCCCCGTTGGCATGGGAAGGCGCAGTAGCTCGGGTCTTAGATACACATCTTTGATAATTATTGCGCCCTGAAATGGGAATTCAAGATGTTGAAGTTCTGAGATGTATCCGTATAATCTTACCACGTAGGGGCAGGAGTGATTAAAGTTGGTAAAATCTTTGATGAAACTATAGACAATAGAAAAAAAAGGGTTATTTTTCCTTCGAAGAAACAGACAGACATCCAATTTAATGTTTATTAGCCAGGGCTTATATCCATTTGCTCTTTTAAACAGCTGCATATGACCTGTCAGATCGGTGATCGGTTGCAATATCGTCTCATTCATGTTGAGGATTACTTTGCTGCGACTGACAGCCTTCAGACGACAGTTGTTGAATACTACCCAGGATTTATTGTAGCTCTCGCAGACGAAGTTTGTAAACTTGAAAACGACCGCATCCTGTGAACCTTAATTAATGAAGGACATGTTTCACAGGAAGTTTAACGTTATATTTACATTAAAATCGAATGAAGAAACTAGAAATATTACGAATAGAACACATAATATTAGTTTTGACTGCATTGGGTCGACTGATATGAACGAATGATAAACGAATCCGAATTGAATACAAATGATGCAATATTATGAATCAGAATTTATTCCGCACCAGTAGCTTTGATTATTCAATTTAAATTCAAAATAAGATACCCTTCTAAAGGGTATTCGCCCAAAAAAGGAATAGCTTAAGCTTAAAACTATTTTTCTTTAAAAGAGCTGTATTATTCAGTTGTAAAACATACGTTTCCATTGAAAACAATTATATTTCTTCATTTATTTACATGGAATAGATAAACGGCTGAGATTGCTTCAGGATATATTTTCGCGATGTGAAGGCCATGCGAACTGCTTTTCAGTATGTAATAATTCGTTGGAATGGGAAATGACTGGCGTTTTCCTGAACAATTTTGGAAGCTATTGATTCAAAAGAAGTTCAGAAAATGAAAATTTAAAGGTCATTGAAGAAGCGACACAGTCAAAATTTTCTAATAGACCAATTTTTAATATATGATGTATAGACCACTGATTTCCATTCTAATTTCTGTGTACTTCATGCAATTATTAATAAATTTGCTCAGAATCGCATTGTGAAAATGGAGGGTTCGAATATATTTGTTAAATCGGTACAATAACACTACTCGACAAAATTGAACTTTTTATTTAGGCTGTGAACCAAAATTACTTTTTCTGATAGATTTCGGGATTTACAAATTTTTGTATTACAAAATTGCAGATACAAAGGGTCTGGGTCAGATTTATAGTTGCATTTATTAGCTCTTCAGAACTGCAAAGTTCTATGCAAGCAGATATAAGATACTTAAGTCATGTCAAAAATAGAAGCACTACCTCTGAAAAAAAAACATTAAAAAAAATACCAGTTTTAAAAAAATTCTTTAAAAAAAAACTACACCATAAAAAAAAACCATAGTTCGTTAAAAATTTATAAACCCCGAATTCTATAAGAAAAAGTTATTTTGCACCACAGCCTATATTTAGTGTTGACTAGTGTAATTGATTGCAATTTAAATTTGCGACTTTTCTATCTGGGATCTTCAGGGATCTGCTGTAGATAGTTCCAACTATAAGCTCTTCAGAAGATGCTCTACGATCACGAAGCTCACTTTTGTATCAAATTAAATTAATGTACTCATTCCGAGGGTATAAACCAGTGCATCGTAATGCCTTACCATTATAGGATTGACTCATTTCCACTTGACTTGACTTGAACTAACTGTTAGATTGGTGAGACCTGACCTGGTAATCGTGCCGCGAGACTACTATAGCAGTGTACCCGCTAAACAGTAGGTACGAGTATTTATGTATATTATTTAATATATTCTGCACTTTATCTATTCTCGCTCCACCTAATGATTATTATAAAAGTAGTATTCCCCTATACTTTTTGTGTACCGGGTATAACAAAAATATTGATTGCCGGATGAAATAGTCAATAAAGTACGCATAAACTTATTCCACTTTTCTGAACTAGCTTCCGGACAACATCGATAGTATCTCAATTATAAACGAGAAGGAACGTGTGAGTCGCTTCTGGGGACGCGACTCTACTTTTACCCGTACTCAGTCAGTATATACATTTTTAAGCATATGATTTTTTAGAATTTTAGAATTAAAAAAATAAATGTACATTTAACATTTTTTTGCTACATCTGCTATCTACATCTACAATGTATATTCTACATCTAATATGTAGATTGCACATGTTCCAATTAGATTCTACATCTCCTCCGCTAGGGGTTGCTAGCGCACTGAACGCAGCGAGTGTGCGAGCGAGAAGGAAAATGAGTTGTGTTGTCGTTGGCAGGAGGGGGCAGGGGAAGCCACTGAAAATTAATTTCTTCATTATACCCGTCCTCAAAAAAGAGTTAAGGGGTATATTAGATTTGTGGTAAAAGTGGATGTGTGTAACGCAGAGAAGGAAACGTTTCCGACCCTATAAAGTATATATATTCTTGATCAGCATCAATAGCCGAGTCGATATAGCCATGTCTGTCTGTCCGTCCGTCCGTCCGTCTGTCCGTCTTGTTGAGCGCATGGATCTCAGAGACTATAAAAGTTAGGGTAACCAAATTTGGTTTCCAGGCTCATGTGATATCATACTGCTACAAGTGTATTTCAAAATTTCGCCCCGCCCCCTTCCGCCCTCACAAAGGACGAAAATCTGTGGCAGGCACAATTTTTAAGATACGATAAAACGCAGTATCGTAGAGAATGCCCATATCTACCAGATTCCCAAATCTGAATCAGATCGGATTATAATTATAGCCAGAATGAAGAAATTAATTTTCTGTTGCTTTCCCTGCCCCCCCCTCCAGCCAACGACAACTCAACTCATTTTCCATCTCGCTCGCACACTCTGCCGCGTTCAGTGCGCGAGCAACCCCTAGCGGAGGAGATGTAGAATCTAATTGGAACATGTACAATATACATGTTAGATGTAGAATATACATTGTATATGTAGATGTAGATAGCATATGTAGCAAAAAAATGTAAAATGTAAACAATTTTTTTTTTCTAAAATTCTTAAAAATCATAAGCTCAAAAATGTATATACTGACTGAGTACGGCTATAAGTAGAGTCGCGTCCCCAGAAGCGACTCACACGTTCCTTCTCGTTTTCTTTTAGCGTTGTGGCTGCCCTGCACTTTTGGCGGTGTCGCAAAGTTGACTTATCAATGACAGCTCTGGGATGTGAGAATTGGCGGAAATTTGTTGTCAATCTTTGCATTATCACTATCCAGAAAAGGTTTCATAGAAAATAAATATTCAAAATGGATAATAAATGTCAAAATATTTAGAATCTATATCAGGGGTGACACAGAAATCTCTAGAGATTTTGACTCGAGAGATTTGTGAAATCAACCGAAAAATCCGTAGGTGCCACAGTATATCTTAAGATTTGACTAGAGATTTCGTAAAAAGGTAAATAAAGGGACTAAGCCAAGTGAATTCTTAAATTGTTATAATGCAGATATATCACAAATTTAATAAACTTTCCAAAACTGTAACACTTTCCTTGAGTAAAGTGTGTTTGAGCAGTGAATTCAACCAAAATCTCTAGCCATAATACTAGAGATTTTAAAACCAACCAACACAGCATGCTGTGGCACCTAGCAAATCAACTCAGTTGGAATTCGGTCTGTTTGACAGTCTGTGGCACCCCTGTATTAGAAATAATAATTGTTATTATTGCTATTATTGAAGAAGAGAGCCTTCTCCGCCCGCCTGAACCAAGAACTCCCAAGAGGAGAAGTCCAAACTAGCCTGGGCTGAGCAGAAGGTAAAAGAGAGGCGTCTTCACTACGCGCAGCTGCCTCAGATGAAGGCGACGAAGGGCGAATTCGCCAATAAGATTGAGGAGATGATGGCCACCAAAAGGCAACGCTCGATCGACAGTGCAAAGGACACTCCGGCGGGCAAGCGGCAACGCGGGCCCAAGGTGGCTATCCCTCAACCTACGACGAAGAAGCCCAAGCAGAAGGTCAAGTTGAGCGACGTATCCAAGAAACACCTCATCGTGACCCTGATCGACCGCAGCGAGGAAAATGGGAAGATGACGGCGGCGCAGTGAAAACAGGTCCACGCCCAGCTTGTAGAATCCCTTTTCGCGCGAATGTAGGACGAGCCAGACGCTCCCATGCCCACCTTCGACGGTGCGGGATGGCTGAACGCGGTGAAGATCCTCAAGTGCAATGACGACCAGACGAGGAAGTGGTTGCTGCAAGTGGTGCCGAAATTGGAAGCTCTGTGGGAGGGGGCCAAGCTGGAGGTAGTGGACAGGGAGATGATCCCGTCTCTCCCAAAGGCGAAGGTGCCCTTCCCCATTGCAGTCCAGGGTTACCGAGCACTGAAACTCTTTCAGAGGCAGAATGCAGACGTGCCAACGGCAGAATGGAAGATATTGCATGGTGGTAGCCCATTACCCAATGAGGGAGGCCAGCACATGATCCTCCAGATCCTCCAGATCAACAAGGAGGCGGAGGACATCCTGTACCCGAGACTCGGTAAGATGGCGTGGGGCGTAGGCAGCGTCTACCTACGTCTCAAAAAGCGCCACCCCGAAGACAAGGACGCGCACACCCTGCAGGCAGGCGAGGTGGAGAAGGACCTCGGTCTGGAGTCCATCGTGGAGGCCGCCCAAGATCTTGCGCTGGACAACTCTGATGTGGCAGAGGACTAGGACAGTGACCTGACAGTAACAGTCAAGCCGTCGAGTGTAGTTGAGCCAGCCTCCCATGACATTTAGAGTGCTGCATAAAAGCAAGGTCGCGTCGGCGGAGCTCCTTATTGCCTTGGAGCAAGGGCCCGTCGACATAGCTTTGGTCCAGGAGCCATGGCTTGCCTCTGGGAATGCTGCGGCCGGACTAAAGTCCTCTAATCACAATCTTTTCCACCCACCATCGGTAAGCAGGAACAGAACCGCCGTACTCTTATCTATCTCTATCTTATTTATCATTAGAGCACTGATGACTTGGCTGCGGTGATGCTCGAAAGCGAGGACAAGCGCCTTATGGTAGCGTCCTGCTACATAGCACACGACAGGCCGCTCCACCGGAGGAGCTAAGGAATCTGGTGGCGGAAACCAATCCCAAAGACCAGCAACTTCTAGTTGGTAGAGAGTCCTTAAAAGACCCTCCTACTCAGACCACAAGTACATTCAGTTTAAGTGCGAATTTAAACACTCTCCGAAGATAACTGTCTATAGAAACCCCCGGAACACAAACTGGGAAAAGTTTAAAAAGACAGTTACCTCGAAGCTCGCGAATCGTCCGGGCACAGTGAAATCCCCGGAAGACATAGAAACGTCCCTAGAGACCCTATCCAGGGAACTACTGGATGCGTACCACGCATCGTGCCCACCCTCGAGAACGAAAAAGAGAACCAAACCATTGTGGTGGAACCGGGACTTATCGCTTCAAAGAAACAACCTCAAAGAATTCTTCAAAATCGCCAAACTGGCGAACGATAAGATAATCAATGAGGAATAAAAAAATTCTACTCAGGGAGTACAAGAAAGAAATAGGAAGGGCACAAAGAAACTCGTGGAGGAACTTCTGCTCCAATATCGAGAAAGTTCCAGAAACGGCTAGACTCCGGAACCTGCTATCAAAGCAACCTACCATACAGAGTCAGCTCAAGCAAAACGATGGACAGTGGACTGAGGGCAGTGAACAAGCCCTAACAGCACTAATGGAAGCTCACTTCCCAGGATGCACTAATGCTTCTGACGCTACAACGCATCAGGACCTAGCAACTGAGGAACAGCATCCCCCAACGGGTCTCATATCGTCTAGGAGAATCCACTGGGCTATAGACTTTGTGGGTACGAAAGCACCTGGACTAGACGGTATATTTCCAGCCATGCTTCAGGCGACCAAAGACGTGATCACCCAGTGGCTCTCTGCACTATGCTCAGCTTGCCTGAGCACAGGCTATATCCCTATCCAATGGAGGACCTCGAGGATTGTCTTCCTTCCAAAGGCAGGAAATGCACTGGATCTACATTTCGGTAGTGCCACCGACTCTGCTGTATGGAGTCTTAGTGTGGTGGCAGGCTACAGAAAAGAAGACTTACAAAAAGCTAATGGAGAGAACTCAGCAGCAGGCACTGCTCTGCATCACTGGGACGCTGAGGTCAACCCCAACAAAAGCACTCGAAACAATACTCGAAGTCGAACCCCTGGACATCCACGCTCAACTAATTGCAGGTAAGGCAGCACAACGCCTAGTGGCATCAGGCAACATGTCGCTGCAAGGATTCGGGCAAAGTTCAATAGGCCGAGACATGATCAGTATATCTGACTAAATGATCCCCCTGCCTGGACGTCAAAACAACAATACTCATGGGACCCGACGACTGGAAAGAAAGTCGGGAACAGACTGAACACCTAAACATATACACAGACGGCTCCAAGATGGCAGGAGGAGTAGGAGCGGGCATATACTGTACATACCCTGAAATAAGGCTGTCCTATCAGCTACCGAACCAATGCAGTATATTTCAGGCGGAAGTCTTCGACATACGGAAAGCGGCGGAGTTTGCTCGATGTACGGATCGCCCACATGATGTGGTCAACGTGTTCGTGGACAGCCAGGCGGCGAAAAGATCCATGCAGTCGTCAGCGGTCAGATCCAAAAATGTCCTGGCAAGCAAGAGGCATTAGATTTCCTAAGCACGACAAAGTCAGTGCGGATATATTGGGTTCCCAGACACCAGGGCATCGAAGGTAACGAGACAGCAGACGTGCTGGCTATGGCAGGCGTCGGGCTGGCGAACGACAGAACTGAGCAGAGAGGCGGGCACACATACAGGCCAGTAGCAGGTGGAGGAGAAGAATCGCGAAACCATGTGCGAGGAGAGCAATGGTAAACTCAGGCACTACCTACTGCACCTACCACGGAAGGATTCTAATGGGTATACTCACAGGTCACTGCCTGGCTGCAGCTCATGCAGTCAAACTAGGCATCACCAACAGTGGCAGCTGCAGGAAATGTGATGAAGCTGGGGCTATCGAAACCCTGGCACATCTAATCTGCAAATGCACGGCTCTCTCAAGGGCAAGAAACAAACACCTTGGCGGCCCGGTACTGGCATCGCTGGAAGATGCATCCAGGAGGACGCCAGGGGAACTCCTTGCCTTTGCGAAAATCTCCTCGATCCTCACGGCCTTCGAAACCGCGTAAAACACTCAGAAGGTCCATACGCACTTATCCGGACAACTAAGGGCCATATTGGCCGTCCGGGACAACCTAACCTAACCTATTATTGTTTCTCTAGTGTTGCGTATATCAACAAAAGAGGTAGGCGTGGTCTGAGCCGATTAATCCTAATATTACCAAATGGGCAAATTTTCAAGTCAGTAATTATATTTTTAGACTTTATGCCAACAAAATTCGACTTTGGGACCATTGTACAATGCGAGTCTGTTCAAATTGATAAATAATTGCATGAGGTATACAGAAATTAGAATGGAAATCAGTGATCTATACATCATATATTAAATATAGGTCTATTCGAATATTGTGACTGTGTCGCTTCTTCAATGACCTTTAAATTTTCATTTTCTGAACTTTATATCAATTGCTTTCTAAATTCCACCATTTTCCATGACTTTCCGGACACCGTTGTTATTTTAAAAGCAGATCGCATGACCTTCACATCGGGAAAAGATATCCTGAACAGTAAACAATCTTAGCCGTTTATCTATTCCATATAAATAAATAAAGAAATATGTACATGTATGAAATACATGAAATATGTATATGTATATATTGGGATCCGATCCGCACTGCGAAGAGGCGTGAGTTGCCCGTTTACACCCTCTGTAAGGGTATCTTATTTTGAATTGAAATTGAATAATCAAAGCTACTCATGCGGATTGAATTCTGGTTAATTATATTACATCATTGGGATTCAATTCACATTCGTTTATCATTCGTTCTTATGTGTCGGCGCAATGGAGTCCAAGCTAATATTCTGTGTTCTATTCGGAATATTTATAGCTTCTTCATTCGATTTTAATGTAAATATATCCTAACTCTTTTTGTCCAACAATTCCGACATTTATTTGAGTTCACAGGATGCGGTAGTATTCAAGTTTACGAACGTCGTCTGTGAGAGCTTCAACAAATCCTGGTTCGTGTTCCACAACTGTCGTCTGAAGGCTGTCAGTCGCAGCAAAGTGACCCTCAACATGAATGCGACGATATTGCATCCGACCAACGATATGACATGTCATGCACAGATGTTTAAAAGAGCAAGCGGATATAAGCCCTGGCTAATGAACATTAAATTGGATGTCTGTCTGTTTCTTCGAAGGAAAAATAACCCATTTTTTTCTATAGTCTATAGTTTCTTTAAAGATCTTAGCAACTTTAATCACACCTGTCCCTACGTGGTAAGATTATACGGATACATCTCAGAACTTCAACAACTTGAATTCCCATTTCAGGGCGCAATAATTGTCAAAGATGTGTATCTAAGACCCGAGCTACTGCGTCTTGCCATGCCAACTGGGGATTATTTGTTGTCGATGAAGTGGTATTACTATCAAAAGCATCAATTTGATATGAACTTTAGTTTTACGTTCGTCGAGGATCTACTGCAGAGCTAATGATGGGAATTACCTGCTATCCTGCTACCTGCATAATAATGTGTCAATTAAATTTCAAGAAAATGTATAATAATCTCTATCTTTTGACAGATCAATCAATGAAACAAATACATAATATTTTAATATTTCTATATAACTAAATACCAATATAAAGCTATTTGGATAGATAGGGGCACAAAAGAAGCTAATATTGAAGAATTTTGTCTTTAAAATTACAAATTTTACAAATTAAAATATTCTGCGCTTCCCGTTTATTTGGCAAAATGTATGTGTGTATGAAACAAATGTTCTAGGCTTGATTTATAGAATAAGCTATAAATTGGATATTGGATATGCAATATCAACGAGAGGAGTATATATTTATATGTGAAATATCTTTGGTTAGGCCGCATCACTCCTTCAATGCTCTCAGATCTGGATAGAGGGCTCCGGCGTTAATATAATGAGATTCCTGTTTACGCAAATCGCGTTTGTAATCGTTCACGACGGCCTCGCCGGTTCGCTTGGCCAATTTCTTGGCTATGCCCTTGGGGGATATATAATTCACGTTCTGGCTGATGATAAAGGCATTTCCCACCGTATCGAAGGTGCCGCAGGCCAAAGTCCCAGCTGATGGTCCATATCTGAGAAGGAAAATTATCTGTGAAGATGGATTTAATGCGGACTATCGCTTGATCTTACTTGTGCTCTATAATCTTGACCGAGTTCTCGCTAAGGCTATTTCCCAGGATCTTGGCCGATGTCTCGAGGCCATCGAAGACTGTGCTGAAGCCCTCGACCGCTCCCGCTGCTATTGTTAGTGCCCCCTCCATAGTGCTGTTCGCTTCGGTGGTGTCGTAGCCAAAGCCCTTCTGCAGCAGCTTAGAGCCCTGCTCCTGGACATGCGGAGCGAGATAGCGTCCAACGGCCATTGAAGCTGTGCCCACCTTTCCGGCTATCCAACCGGTCATTCCAACCGCCGCGTGGGTCACCTTCTGCGCCACTTCCACTTTGGGAGAAAGTCAATGAAACCCGTGAGATATCCTCAGCTGAAGACTTACCTGTGGACTGCACGGAGGTCGGCACTTGAGTAGGGGCTTCCGTCGAGGCTGGCGACATCTTGGAGATCAGATACGGCGTTGTTCGCATCATAAGGCCGCCCGTCTTCTCCGCTCCTTTGACCAGATTGCGAGCTATAAAATCGGCCGCGCACACAATGTGCTTGGACACCTGCTCCGAGCTGGTGCCCGGACCGGAGCCAGCACGTTGGGTGCCCGGCGATTTCAGCTGCTCCACTGTGCCCGCCAGCACGGCTTCAAGCAGGTCAAGGAAGAACTGCTGCAGATCCTCCATCTGCTCCTCCTCCGTCTCCCCGGCCGTTGAGCTGAGCGGACGCTGTGACTTCACCAACATGATTCCGAAGGCGTTGCCTGGCTCCTGGCACTCCATATCGGGGAAAATGAAGGCTCCGTATTCCGTGCGATAGCAATTGGTGATCAACGGGACCAGTGGGTACAGCCATATCATGCCGGAGGCCGTGGAAGCCTCTTCCTCCGTCATCGAACACTGGATGAAGGTGCTTCCGCTGAGATATTCCCACTTGCCGGCCACGGTGCACATCACCAGGGACATGGTGGTGCTTCCTGTGATGGTCGTCACTTCACCGCTGGCCTCTATGCGGTACAGCTTTATCTGCGCCTGGAAGAGCTCGTCCAGCTGGGCATGGGCCTCGTGACTGGCCAGGAGCTCTCGCAATCCGGCAGCCATCTCCCTGTATGTTCTGGGAGTGCCGCTGGCATTGGCTATGTCATAAAAGGTCGATGGATTCTCGGCCAGCAATGGTCGCTGTCGGCTGGTGCTCTGTCCATCTGCTTCGGTGCTCTCCCTCTCCTCTGCCTCCTCTGCACTATCATCGATGGGGCGGCTCTTGGCTTTCAAGACCTTCACGCGATAACTAACCTCCGTTTTGGCGCTCTTTAACTTCTGTATCAGGCAGCAGGCGTCGTTCCACTGCGTCTGCACAGCATCAATCTCATCGGGCAGGCCCACGGGTATGCCAAAGGTCTCCTCAATCATCTCCAGGGCTCGCTCATACGCCTCAATGGTTTGCATTTTGTCCTCCTGCTCCTCGCGGTCCAGAGCCAGCTCTACTTGCGTCATGGCTGCCTTGTAGGCCGCTTGGATTTGGCCATACGCCTCGAGGAACTCGCTCTCAGTGGATGCCATTACGAAATTTAGTAGCTGGTGAAATAGAAATAAGGAAAGGACTTTATTTTTGCATTAATTAGATTCCAAGAAAGCCAAACTTGTTGGTAGATATCCATCTTTGCTGGTACGCAACGAAAACCCAACTGAAAAATGTTCAATTTTTGCCCAGCTTCCGTTTACTCTCTGACTAAGTGCGTCAGACATCGTTCGGTGCTTCTGTTACCATTTCTAGTCTCTTTCTCTTCTCCTATTTATGAGATTTATACTCTACATATGTCGCAGCACATTCGGTTTCTGTTCCGACTCGGTAACATCTTCTGCTACGATTTAGTGGCATCCTTCGGTTTCTAGACGATTTGAAGGGCCTTTTGCGATTTTGGGGCAGCTGTTGCCTCTTCTCAAAATTCAATTGTGGGCAACGAAATTTATTTCGGTTCACTGCATCCACAATCGGATTAATCCCGCCGACTTGTTGCACTCACCCCTTTTTCCCGGTCGGGTCTTGAATTTTTACTGCCCTGGCAGCACTTTCCTTTTTATTGAGATAGAATCGGATTCGGATGTACTTTGATCACTAAAATCATCGATCTAGAAATAATGTGGGGCGACACGTCTGTTTCGTCATTTATTTTATTTCTCCACTTCTTCACTCACCTGTCATTTTTTCTTTCTATTGCGTCTCCTGTATGATAGAAAGCTTCTTGTCGCAGTTTTTTATGTGAGAATCAAACTTAAATTAATAATTATCATTGCTAAATTCGTTAAAAACTTATTCGATTTGGTTGTGGAATGTTCTTTGCGTTTTTGTTTTGCTTGGTCTGTTTTTCCTTCTGCTTCTTATCCAGCTGTTTCTTAGGGAGGTCTAGCTACGTTCAGTCACTAACCAAGCACATGCATACATACATATGTATATAGAGATGCGTCAGTTTCAGTGCTACCATTTTTAAACCTTGCTTTTTTTAAAAGGATAATAGATACATTTTTATTGCTTTTTTTGGCACTATAGACCTGTTTGTACATGCAAGGCTGCTGCTCAAGTCTATCCCTGTCCGAGAGCAAAAAAAAGAGCGATTGCCAAAATGTTTGAAATTTGTCTCTGCTGGCAACATCTTTTCCAAATTCTAAATGAATCAGATATGTGTATATTTTATTTTATTTCACTGCGCAAAAGAATAATATAATCCATCAATTTCGTTTTATTTGTTATTTATTTCGACCTTTTAATCATTTTTAAAATACATTTTTATCATTTGAAATGGTTTTGAATGCATGTTACATTTCGTTCGATTCGGACGACGCTCACATCCTGATTTTCGTGGGTGTGTTTGTGTGTGAGAGAGTTTTGCGTGTGTGTGTGTGGGGAAGAGAGGTGGTGGCCGTGGTTATTGGCCAAATATACAATATATATCCTGTATATAACACGATAACTTGAATAACGAAAATAATCTATTGGAATTTGTGTTCTGATGATGGCAATGGGTTCCATCCATTCAACATGTCAAATTCTAAGAAGTCGCAGACTTTTTGTCTTCGTGAGAGAAGAGTTTTGATTGAAATCACAATGTATATATAGAATCATTATCTGTATAACTCTATGGATGGATGCACACAAAAATGTGTGTGGATCCCTGTTTTAACATAGTTTTTAATGCATTTGCCGATACGCGACGATACTGTCGGCAAGAGTAAAAAATAATAACGAGAGTAATGCTCCTTCTATCCCTTTTTATGTATCCAAAAGTGGAGGGATGGAGTACATGGTGATGATCTCCTCCTCTTAGGCAGCCGCCTTGCTGGCCAGCTCCCGGTAGGCGTCCTGCAGAGCCTGCTGCTGCTCGGCACTCAGGCTGCTTGCACAGGCCTGCATCACGTCGGGATTCGACTCGACCTGCTTGACGATGGTGAGCATGCGGGTACCGGTCGCACTGGTAGCCTCCAGCACCTTGGTGCAGTACGCTTCGGCGATGATGGAGACGATGCGCGGCAGATTGGAGTTGTTGGCGCCCAGAATGACCGGATGATTGGCCTCGATCAGATCGCACATGTAGCCATAGATGTGGGTGGCCTCCTCGGGATCCTCGGAGATGGGCAGCCAGGAGAACCACACGCCAATCAGCTCATCCACATTGGACAGCGCCGACTTGTTATACTTGAGGATTTTGGCAAAGGCCGAAATGGCGTTCTCCGTGGCATTGATGTTCTCGATTTCGCGGGCCTTGGGATCATTGATGACCTGCACCAGCAATGGAATGATCTGAGCGCATGTGACCGCAAATTGCTCGCCACCAAACTGGGCCAGAACACCGCAGCCATAGGCAGCGGCCTGGCGCACCTCCGGCGACTTGTCACCCACATACTGCAGCAGTGCTGGCGTGAAGATCTGCTGGTACGGGGCACAGGCGGGGCCACAGAACTCTGTAACATAGAAAACGTAGACAGAGAGTTAAACTATTCTATGGGGATCCATTCCATTCTATAAAGCATCATTCCACGCTCTCCACTCACCAATCAAATCATCAAAGACACACACACCCCATTGGCGATCGGTTGGTGGACGACTGGGATCCAGAAGCTTCACAAAGTGCGGGGCCACCTGCTCGAAGGCTGGCAGAAACTGGGCCTTGTTCGTCAGGAAGAGGGCGTGCGTGATGTCAATCACCTTGGACAGGATGTAGACATCCGTGTCATCCTGCTCGGCCAGCTCCTCCTCGACGCCATCATCGTAGTCCTCCTCGTTGCGGGCAGCCAGACGCTTGTCGGCGCGCTCAAAGTGCTCCAGCACATACTTGTTGATGATCTCGAGGACCTGTTTCATGGCCTCCTCGTTGAGGCAGTTGGGGCCCAAGGTCTCAATGCACTTGGCCAGCGAATTGAGCAGTTCGGACTGCACCTCCGGCTCTGGCTCGGTGACAATCACCTTCAGGAGCTCGGGGCAAATGTAGAGCCACATGCCCTCCAAGTACTGGGGGCCCTTGATCTTGGCGCAGTCGAGCAGATACGGCAGCGACTCGGCAGCGGCTGTTCGAACGCCATCGTGGAAGTAAAACTTGAGCATGGGCAGCATTAAGCGGACCACCTCCTCGGCGTACTCGGCGAATCCCTCCTTCAGCTCGCGGGCGTAGCAGACGAGCATCTCGCAGGCGGATGCCTTGTCGTCCATGCCTGCGGTGCGGATTGCAAAGTTCTGCTGCTCCCCCAGATTGATGAACGACCAGTCTACATCGCCCTCAATGTCCTCGACCTCATCGTTGTCCAGCATGGCCACCTCGGGCTTCATCGAGGCGGTGCGCATCACGGGGCCCATTACCAGGGGCAGATACTGCTCGAACTGCTTGCCCAGGATCTTGCACATGCGCGCCCAGGCCGTGATCAGGTATGAGGTCTGCGGATCATCGTCGGCCAGCTCTGCGCCCTCGGTGTGATTGACCAGTAGCATGTCCATGATCTCGCCGGCATCCCCGATGAACTTATCCCGGCCCACGGCCAATCCGATAAGGCTCACGCACTCGATAGTCTTGCCGCGCAGCATGCGCAGATCCTCGGAATTGGCGTTCTGGATTATGAACTTGAGGCAGGGCATCAGGCGGTCATAGTAGGCCACGAACTCGGCCTCGCAGGTGTCCGCCACAGAGGCAATGGTGGTCACGACCTGCTCCAGCACCAGCTTGTTGCCCTTCTCGACCAGCTCCTTGAACTTTGAGTTGAGAATGGCCTCCAGCTTGGCCATGATCCCGTCCAGATAGCGTGTCAAAATATTCTTGGGACAATCCTCGCTGAAGTTGACCAACGCGGCGCCGGCATGTGCCTGCACACGGGGATTCTGAACATCGTCCAGCAGCAGCATCAAGCCGGGAATCACCTAAACGAGGACACGGCACCGATCATAACCATTTGAAGGGTAATTCCTATATGCGAGATCTCATACCTGGCTGTGGAACTTCTTCTCAAAGATTGGAGCAAAGTCCGTGGACATCTGGCCGATGGCATTGCATGCGGAGTAGCGCACGCGCGGATGGGGATCCCGCAGGAAGTTCAGCACGCCCGACATCACCTCATCCAGTATGGCCTCCATCTGTTTGTGGCAGCCCTCGCCGATGGACGAGATGGCCATGAGAGCGGCGAAGCGGTGCTTCCAATCGCTGTGGCTCAACATCGCCGGCAGGGAGCTCATCACCTGGGGCAGGATCATCTTGCCGCCCAGACCGCACGCGAGGCGGTCCAGCGAGGACTCGGCAATTACATTGTTGTCGCTGTGATCGTCGTCGTCCACGACATCGGTGGTCGACCAGTCATCGTCATCCTCCAGATCCGTCATCATCTGCAGCACCAGCGGGATCAGGGCAACGATGTACTTTTCCGCACGTTTGCGCACCATGGCAGGCGCATTCTCGGAGAGGGAGACCATCACCTCCAGCACCAGATGACGCCAGGTGTCCTCGAAGTCCTTCGAGCTGAACACCTTCATGCAGATCTCGAAGATGAACTCCAGTTGGGGCCGCAGGAACTTGGGACAGCTCTCGGTCATGTCGATCAAGAGCTTCAGTAGACTCTGGTCGTCCTGGGCCTCGATAGATTCGCCGGTGATGACGAGCATCCGGTGCAGCATGTCACTAAAGTGCTTGTACACGACCACTTCCTTCTCCTTGTCGTGGAAGAGGATGAAGGCGCCCACAGCACGCACAGCCTGGATGCGCACCTCGGGATCCGAGCTGGGGTCCATGCTCTTGGCCAGCATCTGCTTGATCAGATCAATGTACTGCGTCTCCTGGTTGCCAAAAATCGACGGAACGCTGGTGAAGATCCGCAGCGCAGCCTCCTGCAGCTGGGGCGTCGGCGAGTTGGCGCATTGGAAGAGGAACTGCAGGATATCCGGCCACTGGTTGTTGCCATCATCGTCGACCAGATTGCGTGCAACCTCGGCTACCACCTCACAGATCTTCCTCCTCAGCTGCGGAGTCACCTCCTGCTGCACGGCTAGCAGAATCTGCTGAAGCAGCTGGTTCTGGGACTCTGGCGGAATCTACGGCGGGGAAAAGGGCAGACGTTTCGTTAGAAAACCACTCTCTGGGGCGTTCCCCTCTGTGTTGCATTTCCAACCTCTTTGTAGAAATCCGGAAAGTCGGTGGTGAAGAGACGACGCAGCAGAACGGCGGCCATCTGGCGGGCCTCCTCGGATTGCTGGCCATTGTGGATGTTGGCCAGAAGATGTGTCACCTTCAGGTCTCGCTGCAGGGCGTTGTAGGCATCCTGGAATATGGTAAAAATCAGACAGAAAGGTGAATAATCGACGCAAAACAGATTTGGTTTCGTTTCCAGGTGGGTGGAGCCGATGCCTCAAGGTCGGCGGGCGTTGCCATGTGCCATGTGCCCTCGAGCACGGCGCTTATCAACACGGAATATTAAACAGATTGCATTTTCCCATCCACCATCCATCCAATGCGTCATTCCACCATTCTTTTGCACCTGCTCTTTGTTTCCGTTTGCCCGAAAAATCGGATGTACATATGTACATATATCATAAGAAATTTTAAATTGTTAAATTCTTAAATGGTATTTTACTTTGTTCCTTTGTTTCGTCTCTCTCTCACTCTCACTCTCTCTTTCTCTCTATCTATCTATCTATCTATCTCCCTCTCTGTCTCTGGCGCTCCTCTACCGAAAGAGACGCAACACACATGCGAATGTGGCGTCAAAAGGGAGGGCAAAAACACGTTTTGTGTGCGGAGCGGATGATTCAGGGCACAAATTTAATAGGAAAAAATATGCCTGCAAACAAAATGGATCTCACAGACAAGAGCAGAAATGTCTGTGCCCAATTTTATATATGTACATACATACATATGTACTAAATGAGATGGCACGCCAATATGCATATTGCGCATCACAGAATTGCTGCAATTCAATTTTTCTTGTTGATCCCCCTTCCTTCACTTCGCTCACGCGAGAACACTCACCTCAGCCTGCTGGCGCACATCATTATCCGTAGATAGCAGGGAAACCAAGAGCTGCTGGAACTGGGCCTGGTCTGCAGACATGTTGTGTTGTAATTAAATTAAATTAACTGCAATTCACACGAAAGTAATTGGAAAACCACAATTTTCACAATCTTCACGCGACGAAGGCCGCCTTAAAAAAGAGCAGAACAATAGACGGAAGCCGGGTTGCCAAAATCTCGCAATTTTCTTCTGCAGAGTTGCATTTCGAGCGTTTTAATTGTATTTCTCTTCTCTTGGCGGTAGTATTTTATTATTGTTATGAGTAAATTGAAAAATAAAATTGAGTTTAATTCCAAATGAATTAATCTTTTGTTTTTGACTGGAAATTGGTCTTTTCAAGTTCATATTTCCCGCAGGTGACAACACTAATACGATAGTCAGATACACTTTGATACGATAGTTTTGGCGCGCAAGCAAAAACACTCAGGGCTGCCACAAAGCTGCATCCTATACTGTCGAATTATAATTTGATTTGAATTATAATATCACGCGACGAAGGCCGCCTTAAAAAAGAGGTGTCAAACCATCGATGGCACTATCGATAGTATCGATATTTTACTGCTAGCCTCTACTATCGACGGTTTTGCGACTATCATGAAGGCCTGGCGTTGGGGCTGCTATAAAATACGAAGACAAATTTGTAAACAAATCGACAGGTGGCATCTAATTTTTACAAGTGGACAAGTTCCTAAAAGGTTTCAATGGTGTTTTAATAATTTTTAGAGCTATCACGATAGTATCGATTGTTTTTTTTCAAAACATTCGACGTTGATATTCCTCGATATTGATATTCCGTTTAATATTACCAGCTAGCTGGGACTCTCAGCCCTAAACAAATAATTTTATCCGATAGATACATACATTTTTTAAGAGATTGGCAAGTTTTCAGAAGTTCTTTTTATTGGATTATTTACATATTAAGGTTCAAACAAAAACAGCATAAAACGAATTTGTCGTCGTTTTGTGGCGCTGCCAGACTCGTGCAATTCGTAGTTGCTGCGGGCTGCCATACCATGATATTTTGTGATATGAAATTCGTCAATTTTGATATTCAGTTTAATATTACTAGCTAGTTGGCCTTCTCAGCCATAAACCAATAATTTTATCTAGTTCCTCAATGAATTCTGTTTAGGATTGGCTATTTTTTAGAACTATTTTTAATGGGATTGTTTGGATAATAGGGTTCAAACAAAATCGGCCAAAGCATAAAACGTAAATGTTGACTAAATGTGACGTCAGTGTTGCTGGTCAACCAAGTTTGTTCTATGCGTATGTACTTTTGTATACCTTATTTCTTTTAATTGATGTTAAATGTTTTGTTATGATTATTATTTATGATTTTATCCTAGATTGACATGTTTTTTACCTATAAATGCACATGTTTCTGTTTTATATATACATTTATCCTGGTTCTGATAGCTATTATTGGAACCCATGAGCTGCAAAATTTCGTTAATATCTTTCAAACAGAGACTTAGTAGTTTCTGCATTAATTGGAGCCTGAAATTACGAACAATATCTCAAGTTCATAATATCCATTTTCCCAAGGTATGCAGATTGTTGCTTATTCCGTGCCAAGGTTGCAGAACAATGCTTCTAATTCATTTCCACATTTTTCCCATACAAATCAAATGTATCTTACGGGACCGCGTATGGAATGACGCAACAATGAATCTTCATTCCATACGCGTTCCCCTAAGATACATGTTTCTCACACCACGAAAAGTCACCACGAAAACGCTCTCTTCACCTCTGAAAAGAGAGCAAATTTTGAAAAACCACCACGAATTGAGAGCGAAATGTCTGTATTTTTTGTGCGCTAAATGAGTTTGGCGGTCATTTTCAAATGTATGTATATGTATGAAAAATAAATATTTGCATTTCGTGCGTTTTAATTGTATTTCTCTTCTCTTGGCGGTAGTATTTAATTTTTGTTATGAGTAAATTGAAAAATAAAATTGAGTTTAATTCCAAATGAATTAATCTTTTGTTTTTGACTGGAAATTGGTCTTTTCAAGTTCATATTTCCCGCAGGTGACAACACTAATACGATAGTCAGATACACTTTGATACGATAGTTTTGGCGCGCAAGCAAAAACACTCAGGGCTGCCACATAGCTGCATCCTAGACTGTCGGTTGCGATTTGAATTATAATAAATAAACTATATTCTTACAATGGAACAGATAAGATAATCAACATATAACATTAAAACAATAAGTTAAACGAAATGAGGTGAGATTCTTTCACTGTTGCCCTGGACAACCTTCACGTGGTCCAGGCACAGGGAAAAATCTGAATTACACATGAAATATTTCTCACTTTAACCGAGTGTTTCTTTCATATTAGTGTAGAAACGCAAGGTAAAGTGGTATATTATCTCCACTAGGCTGAGTATGGAAAAGCCCATGAAGAGGCCGAAAATACCGCCACAATTGGCCAGGAACTCGGTCATGCCGTACAGCTCCGACCGCTTCGAGGTAATAAACTGGCTCTGCTTGAAGTAGATGGATAGCCGCGACATTTGGGAGCCGGGATATTCCTCCATGAAATCGGTGTCGTTTTCGGCAATCAGCATTTCCTCCAGATCAAAGTTCGCCTGCGAGATTTCCGTGTTGTAGACCAAAGAAGTACACGCCGGCATGCAATTGCAAGCCAATTCTACTCCCCGTGGATCCTGTCGGGCCGCATTCAGTGCCTTTACCCGATGGAACTCCCGCACGAGGAGCTCCCGCTCGGCCCCATCGTAGCAATAGATTTTGTCTTCGCCACACACCGGCATATCCATATTCCGTGGCATCGAGAACTTTACACAGCCGCACTTGGTCAGCGTGAAGTTGGCCAAGCACTCAAGCTGACAATTGGACTCGGTGTAGACCTTGAAGAAGCGCAGGGACCGCTCATGGCTGAGGAAGCACTGCCGCCGCAGCGGATGGTACTCGGCAATGCCCGAGGACATGGTAATCATGTTTGGTTTGACCGCAATGAGGACCTCCTTGCCCATGGGAATACGCACGAATTGCTTCGAAACCTGCGGCACGTCGTCCGGGGCATGTAGCAGAACTTTAAATCCTTGCACAGGGCCGCGGCACGCGTAGTCCACCTCCTGCTTGAAGCTCTGCAGGGCCAGAAAGATGCCCGACCGAGCGCCAGCACTGAGCACACGAGCTGGATACGTTACCACATCGCTCTCTATATCATAGCCTGTTTCCAGTGACCAGGCCGTGTGCGAACTGATGTTCTCCACGTCCAAGGCATCGGCACTGTGCCGATACTGGTAGGTGTCTTCCCTGTAAATGTCGGTGGCCCTCAGGCCGTTGAAAGTGAAGCATATGCCCTCTTCTGTCAGCGTTTTGCGGAAGAACTTGTCGCATTCACTGAAGCGGCTCAGCCAGCGGCAGTAGAAGAAATACCGATCGAACTGGGGCAGCATTCGTTCCAGCACATCAAAGTAGTCCACATCGTCGCCGGAAATTAGTGGCATGGCCTGGTCAATGATTTGCGTGTTGCACACGTGGAGAAGTGTGCGAAACTCCTCCATCTCCAGGGCGCTAATGTTTTGCGGCTTGAACACGCGCGAAGAACGCATCTCATTATTGAACTGACTGTACAGATCCGCAAATGTTGTCTCCTTGCCTGCGAAATCGGTTAAGTTTTCAGTGACATAGTTGTTGGCATTCAATTGAGCTTTCTCCCACCTTTCGGTTTCAGCACTCGCTTGGTCTCCGAGCAGACTGTGATGGCGGGAAAGGGTATGTTCCACACGGGCGTTGATTTCTCCGCAAAGCTGACAATCACAGGCTGGAAAGATACACCATTAACAATAGCCATTGGACAGATATTAATGAAAAGTAGTTGCCTCACCGTCTCCGTCCACTTGGTGTAGGCGGAGGCAATCAGTGTGCCACAGCCGTATATGGAGATCAGAAAGGCGCACAGCCAAAAGATCCTCTCCCGCATCGGTCGCTGGTGCTCGCCCAGGTACTGCACACCGTGTAAGGACGTGTTGGAGCAGTATTCTCGATATGTGGTAAGGAATCCCTTGCAGACGGTCGCAACGTCAGCGGATGCGGATTGGCGCGGTTTCTTCGAGGTAAGATCAATGCCGGCATTGTGGCTCTCCAGGTCAGAGTCGCAGGTCGACATGGTAGTGTCGATTGGACAGTTTTTGGCACTCACAAACATGGTTTATACAAATATTTTAAGCAAAGCAAGATCCCGTTACTTAAGGTTGCCAGAACGCTGGTATTGCGGTGCTTCTTCACCGATACTATCGATCCGTTTTGGAGCCAAGCCACCAGAGCCAATGAAACCTTGTGTAGTTTAAAAAAGTTAGTTCCACACAAACTTGTCATTTGTTTGGTTGTTCTTTATTGAATGAATTCCAGTCATTTTACTTAATGTACGATTAGCCAAAACCGCGCTGCTATTAACGCCGGCAGCGGAGAAAGAGTATTATGTGCACATGAAGCGGCTCATATTCATTGCGCCGTCGGGTTATTGGAAATATGCTGATGGTGCACTTACATATCATATGTCGCTCGAGGTATATTATACTTGATATACTGGGCCCAATGTGTATTCTTTAAGTACCGTACCTATGGTACAGTGGGTACTCCCTATATGTGCACACTACACTTGTCTAAGAGTAGGACTATACTATTTTAATAAATAAATTCGATAGTAAGAAAATAAAAGATAGTAGCATCGATAGTTCGTCTGCTATGAGCTCACGTTCAGCCCATCCCTAGAAACGACGCTATTTCATACAAAACAACAACAGAACAGAAAAATACATAAAAATGGTTTCAAGAGTTTGCACCTACAAGAACTGTGAGAATTACTATCTTATCAACGACAGCACATCCACAACAGTCTTCGCCCCTCCTAAGCAACCGGAGCGTGCCCAAATCTGGCGTGAAAATGGACGTGTACATCCAAAAATTTCGCCACATAAAATGTTCATGTGCTGTGAGCATTTTGATCCAAAATTCATTTCGTCCAGCAAGAATCGCAAATTACTAGTGGGGGAGGCGGTACCGTATCCGTACGAAGGTTCGCCCGAGCCGGAGGAGGCGGAGGCTCTTGAACAAGTGGCGTCCACATCCTCGCAGGAGAGCTATTTCATAAACCTGACGGACAGTGACGAGTTGAGCATCAACAATGTGGAGTCCACCACAGGCGGTTCCAAGCGATTGGCAACAACGCCGCAGACTTATAAGAATGGGAGTGAGTTAACAAATGCATTACAAGCCACATAGACCTCATTATATTTAAATTGTGTTTTTTTAGTTGAAATTAGTCTTGTGTCGCCTTGCACCAAACGCTCGAGAACGACCGTCACGGAAGCCACTGTTGAGGTAATACCACTTTCCGAGGCCACTATAAAGAAGGAGCCTGCTGTTGCCGAAGACCAGGCAATAGACGCCACAGAGGTCTCCACGTTCATCTTTAAAGGCGAGGAATATGTTCAAATGTCCAAGGCCTATTATATGCGCGAAAAGCGGGAAATTGCAGAGCAGCTGAAGCAATATAAGACCATCCTCAAGAATATTAAAGAATATTTCCAAGATGAATCCCTAGACATATAATATGAAAAACGTGCTATGTGCCACCAAAACTCACTAGAATAAATCCAATAATTAGCTATACATATTTTTCTGTTGACAATCCTTTATAAAATTCAGACATGCGATTACCTTATCGTTTAATCCTCGGGCACAGACCCAGCAGGAGACGTATCCTCTGAAAAACCTAATTTTTATTTAGTACACAACCGCAACCAATTAACGGAGAAGCAACAAGTACAGAAATAAAATATAAACAAATTAAACAATGCGTAGCCTACTTTGGTGGCTATACATTAAATATAATTAATTTTTTTTTTCAATTTAAAACAGTTTAATGGTCTGTTTTCCTTGGCTCAATTAATAATATAAGTATAAACTTTTTTTCAGCTTCCCACCATCAAGTAAATAAATATCAATAAAAATTCATTATTGTTCTTTATTTTTCTCTAAAAATAATCATTATAGATAGTTATTATTATTGGTATATTTAGTTCTTCTGAGCGGCTATTGCTAGTGGATGATTTTAACGTCTACAATAATACAAAATATTCATTTTTATTTTCTTTTAGAAAGCGTAACAGATTTGAAAAATAAAATCAAGTAAAAAATCATTGAATATAATCTGTGCTATTTTCAAGAAAAATTCTATACTCAAGTCACATTTGTATTTCGATTACCGATCTAGTTTTGATGACAGTGATTCATGAAAATACTTTTTGTGGTCACTGCATAATTGTCATCTCTAACTGAAGCGCGTAGATTTGTACAAATCGTTGTACCTTTTGTGTTAACTTTTTAATGAATTCACCGGCTCACCGTGGACGTGGGCGCGGGGGTGGCGGCTATCGGCCATACTTTTATTTCCGCCGAAAGGGCCGAGTTATCCCAGCTGGCGGGAAGCGCCAGCAGGGCCAAGAGGCTGGCACGAGCGCTGATGCGGCAGAAAGCCGCCCGCCTCCGGCAAGAGGATGGAATCGTCCGGCCAGTAAGCGCGGTCGCGACGCCAACATAGACTGCAGTTTTCTGCGGCCCGAGAACTATGCAGCGCCTGAGGATGGGCTGCAAGTGCAGAGCATAGCGGTTGACAATCCCAAGGCCTGTCCCGGCTGGCGTTTGTACTTTCTGCGCGACACCTACACGGAGGACAGTGACCTGGCTAAGCGCATCATGGCCGTGGAGGCCCACTACCAGCGCAATCCGCAAAAGTACGACTTTGTGCGGATACGAGAGCAGGGATTCTTCAAGCTGCCCGCCCTCGGCATCGTCCACGACGAGCAGTTGAAGAAGGCCTGGCCTCAGCTGACGGAGGATCTGCGCGATCATCCGCTGCGCACCCTGTCCACCCTGGCCGTGGCCATGCACACGGTGGTGATCAATCACAACCTGGACACGATTGACACGTCAGCGACCTGCTTCGCGTCCACCCTGGAGCAGTATGTGCCTCCTCCGGGCCGCATCCGCAAAATTTACGTGCGCCCCGAGGATTTTACGCCAGTGGAGCTAACCACCGGCATTAGTCACGACCGCGTGGACACGCTGTTCTCGGTGCGCGGCATTGTGAGCAGCGTGGGTGAACCGACGTACAGCATAGCCTGGCAGTCCTTCCGCTGCTCCCGCTGCCAGGCGGAGCAGGCGATGCGTCAGCGCGGCACCTTCCAGCCCCGTCCCTACCACTGCAAGCAGGCGCAGTGCGTGGCCAAGGATAGCTTTGTGCCCCTTCGGAGCTCGCCGTACACGCGCATCTCGGCCAAGCAGATCGTACGCCTGGAGGAGTCCAGTCTGTCGCTAATCGCGGACTATGACAGCATACTGCCTGGGGAGATGGATGTGGAGCTGCGCCACGATCTGGTGGACTGCGTCCACGTGGGCCAGGAGATAGTCGTCAACGGGGTGCTCAAGCTGCGCGATCTTTGCGAAGATATGACCACCGGAACTGGAGCTGGAACTTCCAACGAGATGAAGGCCTACCTCAAGGCAGCGAGCATCCAGGATGCGCGCCACAAGAAGCGAGAGTTCAGCGAGCGCGACTTGGAGGCCATTGCCATGGTCAATGCGGATCCGAACAGCTTCAAGCTGCTGGTGCAGTCCCTGGCGCCCGAGGTGCATGGCCACGAGCTACCCAAGGCCGCCTGTCTGCTCTCGTTGCTTGGAGGCACCAACGGTGGGGTCAATGTGCTGCTTGTGGGCGATCCCGGCATCGGCAAGTCAAAGATACTGCAAAACTGCGCCCAAATCACGGAGAGAGGATCGCACATAAGCGGGAAACGCGGCGCCCAGTCCGCCCAGAGGCTGGGCCCGACCTTCACAGGGCGAAACAAGCGCGTGCTCCAGGCCGGGGCCCTCATGACGGCAAGCAGTCTCGGCCACTGCACCCTGGACGATGTGGACAAGCTGGCCTCGAAGCAGGCCGTGCTCCTGCAGTGCATGCAGTCGGGGGAGATCAATATGCCGCTGCCGGGCGCCTTCTCCACGTTCCTGGCCCGGCCCTCGATCATTGCCTCTGCCAATCCTCAGCGGGGACAGTACGATGAGGGGCGCTACCTGCTGCAGAACATCCACATCGTGCCCTCCCTGCTCAAGGAGTTCCATCTGGTGTATGTCCTGCTGGACAAGCCCTCGGCCGAGCGCGACATATCGCTGACGGCTCATGTGCGCGCCCTCCACGCAGGAGCCAAGAAGCGGGCCCAGATTGCGGCGCGCTATGCGCTTAAGCCCAAGACCAGCCACTCCATGTGCGAGGGCACCTTCTACGAGGCGAGGGCCGATGACGACGCTGACAACGACAGCATCATGGAACAGGACTACGATCTGGACAAGCGTCTCGAGCTGCTGGGGGAGGATGCCGAACTGGATCTCCTGCCACCCATACTGATCAAGAAATTCCTGGCCTATGCACGCCAGAATGTGCATCCGCTGCTGAGCGATGCGGCCAGCCGCTCCATCGAGCGATTCTTCATGGAGCTGCGCGAAGGCGGCCGTACGGGAGGGGAGGCCGCCTATGCCGAGCAGAGTCAGATCGGATCGGGGTAAGATTGTGCTTTAATTAATTTAAGTTAACTAATTCTATAAGTAAAATTACTTCGAGGGAACTACGTGGACGAGCAGGTAGGTATTGTACTATCGCATCAGCTTCAGGAGGGACGAGACGGGCAGCTCCAGGAAGATGGCCAGCAGGAAGGAGCACAGATACGACACGGTCACCGTGAAGAAGATGAAGGCGAACTGTCGAAATGGAAATGGAAATAGAAATGGAAATAGAAAGATGGAATAAGCACAACGATCAAGGGAAAGTGAACGAATCTAAGGTCTTCCCACCATCATGCCCGTGCCGAAGTAGATGGGCTCCCGCACGGTGGCCAGGACGATGCGCGCCACCAGCAGGTGGACGATGAATGCTCCATAGGTGAGGCGTCCCAGTATACGGAAGATGGGCAGACAGGCGAACTTGCGGAAGATCCCTGGAAAAACACAAACGCCAGAATGAGCGGGGAATCGAAGTGGAAGTCCGTATCCGTATCCTACGGTGATATACTTACAGCCTACCTTCCCGGCCATGCCCACAATAAAGATGCTCAGACCGAAGGCCCAGAGATTCCTCTGCAGGCCCGCGTAAATGGCGCCCCAGATCGCCGACGGAGCCACATAGTAGTGCTGGAAAATGGGGTGGGCGGTGAACAGCCAAAGGATGCCCACCGGAATGAGGGCGAACCACAGGAGCTGGAAGCTGCGCAACTCCCGCAATTTGTATTGGTTCAGGGCCAGCTGGTCGTAGACCAAGGCGGCCAGAACGCCGCAGAAATAGCAGCCAAAGTTCATCAGCGACGAGGTGTAGAACTCCGTGAACTGGCGATCCCCAATGAACGAGTCCTTCTGTGTTCTGTTTGGGAGCATTGAGAGTGCCATTGAACCGAGAGGAGATGAGGGAGAGACTCGAACTTACTGCGGCGTGGGCACAAAGATGGGATAGTAGTCCAGGGCGTACGTGAGCAGCACTGGAAGGGCCATAAAGATCGCCAGGATGGCCGCGTAGAGCTGCTTGCTCCATTTGGCAAAGCGATGTCCCAGCATCAGCAGCACCAGGCTAAGCACAAAGGATTGCGTGTCCGCGGCCAGATACCATCCCTGCAGCAGGCACTGTCAGGATGTCGGGGGATGGGATGGAAGAGATGGATGGAATAAAGCAAACAGTAAAGCTGAAGCAGCTCGGGATGGATCCACTTACGCGCTCGTCCGTCCGCACAAAGTTGTTGATGTACAGGAGATTGGCCCACCAGTTGCGACGGCAGGCCAGCTGCTCACGCTCGTAAATGTGCCGCCAGAGCGGACCTCCGGCAGTGTCAAAGTACACGCCGCTCAGGAGCAGGACAAATGCATAGGGCACCGTCAGACGAATGTAGCGGAACACGTTGAACTTGACAAAGAGCACGGCGTACTGCAGGAAGGTCCAGGACTCTGCCTTGGCCTGCACCGTGCGCGCCACCGCCAGCCAGTTGATGGTGAGCAGGAGGCCGCTGATCACAAAGAACGTGACCGTGATGAGGGAGCCGGAGACGAGGAGTGTGCCCGCGGCCGTGTGCAGCAGGCGCTCGGGATCCTGGGGATTGCTGATGGCGCTCTCGTAGATCACCCAGTTGGTGTGCGCGAAGATCACCATGAACATGGCGAAGAACTTGAAGCAGTCGAGGAAGCGCAGCTCGCGTCCGATCTTGCCGTTGGGCTCCTGGTTGAGCCGATACCAGTTCCGCGCCACCGAAAACGTGAGCAGCAGCTGCTGGGCGAGGCTCTTGGGCGGGGTCTTGTAGTGATCCCGCTCCTTGAGCATCTTGTCGTGACGCCGCCGCTTCAGCAGGAGATCCACGAGGCTGCCCAAGCAAGCAAGAACCATCAGACCGCACAGTAGGCCGTAGAACGTCAAATTCCAGGTATCTGTGGGGATTGTGTTAAAGCTATGACTGTCCCAATGTCCCACATGAATACCCACCATCCTGGATCACACGTCCAGCCTCATCGCAGTACTCCACCACGCTCTTGGCCCGCAGACTGAAGCCTCGCCGCTTCAGCCGCCAGTTGAGGCAGGCACTCGTCAGTCGCTGATGTTGCTCTCGATTCTGCGCCTCCATAGAGAACAGTCCCAGATACACATTCACCTGCATGGAAACAGACAACGAAACCATGAATGGGTCATCAAAATACCAGACACAGACCCATTCCAAGACCCAGACCCCAATCTATCCCAAGCCCTTGGCCTTGAAAGAAATGCATTTGCTTTAATTGGATTTGGTATCCATTTCCATTTTTGGCCAACGCCCCAAGTCAACAGCAAGTCAGCTTTGTGTAATCGTACGATCGTGAATGCATTTTGATGTCATCGATCGACTGGATGAATGGTAGCGACCACACCATTCGCCATCTGCCATCCGCCATCTCCCATTTACCCATCATCTATCCAACGTTTAATCAGCGGATTTTCCTAGCCGGGCATTCGAGTAATTTATGCAATATTTATAGGTAAATGCAGATGCAGATCACGAATTCAGAGGCAATGCTGCTGCTGCTGCTGCTGGCGCGTTAAAATCCCCCCAGATCGAAGCTGATTTCGAGTTGAATAAACTTTTGAACTGTTTTCACAGCTTCTGTGCTTTGTGTGGCGTGTGGTGGTGGCTGAACGGCCATTACGGGCGACGCCTTGGACCAAGAGGAGTTTGGAAATATCCCAATAAAAACAAAAACAATTTGGAGATTGAATTAAATGGCCCACAATCCGAGGCTGATGGTCTCTCACCTTCTCATTGTCCGTGAGCAGACCTGCCTGCAGCGACTCCAGCTCGGTGGCATCCAGTGCGGCCAGGGAGGCCTCGCATTCCCTCAGGCAGAGGCCAAAGTACAGCTGCCGATGGTCGAAGTGATGGCGATCGTAGCGCGAGATCTCGGCGATGGCCCGCCAAGCGGCCACCGACTCATCCGGCTGGACTTGGGCGCGTACAAAGCAATAGGTGGAGGTCTCCCCATCCAGTTCCTGCATGCAGCGGTCGTAGTCATCCAAGTCGTACAGCTGCGGCATCTCATAGAACTGCGTCACTGCGAAACAGGAAGAGAGGAAACCGCATTATTCGTGTGGAAGAAGAGACTGAATGTATACGTAGAATCAGTTGGATGAATCAGCCCATTAAGAGGCTCATCAGAAACTAGTTTCTTTCTTTTTTTGTTTTGCCTGGGAAGATCCTTTTTCGCTAGAACCATAGCCGGGGTTCAATGGCTGTTAATTCAAGTGAAAGGAAACTTGTTTTCTTTGAACTTGTTTTGCATCCACTCCTCTCCGCTCCACTCCACTACATAAGGTGCATCATACCTTTAATAACTTTATCTATTCCAATTGATGGAGAAAAACAAACAAACAAAGAGTCAAGTGTAAGACGACGACGATTATAATTGTTTTGCTGATGAAGAGCCTCAATCTCTTGTCAGATTCCAGTCGACGACGCTTCGTCTGAGTTAATTGTTTGCTTTATTCAAATATAAATAACGTCCAATCATCCCCAGTCTGGAGATGTTTTTTTGTGGTTTCTGGGTGGGGGAACTTTTGCCGGAGAACACGCAACTGGGTGGAGTGGAGCAGCCGGCCTTTGGAGATGCAGATGAGACGGAAATTCAATCCAATCACTGCCCCCTAAAACGTTCAATTGTGCTGCCCCGTTCGATTGACAAGCATTTTAGCATGCGATCTGAACGGATGTCATCGTAATGGATTATGTGACACGGGTGTCGTAGTGTTTCCTCCTATAGAGACAGATAGAGAGACTCCCTAGTTTCTAGAAAATGAACTACGCAAAAAGCTTTACTTCATTTAATTCAAATTAATTATATGCTTTAATTGCTTTTGTGTTCTTTTTTTAGCATTTTCTTAACCACAATTCATCACTTTGGCGCAATTTTATTGCCAACACTCTCAACGTACTTAATCTTTCTACTTTTCTATGGAAAGAACCCATTTGGAAAAGCCTGTAAGATCACTCCTCCATTTTTGTTCCTTTCCTAACCTTAAGATTTGAAATGTTCAGAATTGTCTGCCCATTCCACCCCATTAACCATTTACATAAGTACTCTTTAATTACTTCATCATTTGCTTATATTTGCCCCATATGTATTATTCCATAATACAGGCCCAAAACTTTACGAGTCTTGCATCAATATATCCGTGCATCATTTACTTGTAACACCGTTGGGCAGGAGCAGTCCAACTACAAGAACGACAACGTAAAACTCTTATTGTCGAAACCCTGACAGTCATGCACACGAAATGTATTTTGTTTTTGCGGAGTTAGTAGCAACCCTGATCTATAAATAAATCTAAAAACCATTCTTCATCTGTTACCATTCCTATAATTCAAATGTTTCTTCTGCTTCCTTGATATTTTTCTTCCAACCAATAACACATTATTACATCATTCTACCATTTAGGGAAATTTTTATATGATTCTATCGTTTCGCATGGGAATCTAAAATATCTCTAAGAATGAATATACGCCATGAAAAAACGCCCTTTAAAGACAATTAAATTAATAAATCGTAAAATCATGCTTATTCCATTTTTCTTTGTTATGTGCTCCATGTCTTTATCTAATTGTTAGATCGTTCCTCCATTAAACCTAACCATTCGCAACAATTATCAGAATATTTTTATGGGCCCATAAATCAACTTAATTTTAAGCATCAAATTAATGCAATTCCGACTCCGACTTACTGTTCAATTGAAAGCATTGCGCAGCCGTTAAAATCGCCGCTAAAGCCACGATCCGTAGCAACATGGTGGGCTCCGAGGTGCAAGCTGCAAGCTCCAATCAATCCAATCAGTAATCGTAATACACACACTCCAATTAATGGAAACTTGGGCGACTCTTCGCACTTTCGTCACCCCGCCAACGAAAATTGCCGTGGGCTCAGAGACGAACCGAGAGACAAAATGCAGCAGCACTAATAACAATAAGAAGACGAAATTTCATCAACGCTTGCGATCCGATCCGATCCAAACCGATCCGAAATAAATGAAGTAAAACAAAGCAGATGCACGCACAGAGCGGGGGTATGGTCTGGTCTGGTCTGGCCAATGCCAATGTTAGGAAATGCACACGGCCACGGAAATAGCTTTTGGATTGAGTACGAAGACTGAAGACCGAAATCAAATCAAACCAAACCGAACCGAACCGATGCGCCGATCAGAGCCACTTAGCTGTTGAACCGTTTGCGTCGACGTGCGAGCCGAGAATGAAATGCGGCCCAAGCAGATGGGTCAGTCTGGTTAAGGCCTCAAGCCTCTGGATGCGTCGCTCCCTCTGCCTCTGCCTCTGCCACTGTCACTGGTCTGTCTCTGCAGTTGCATTTGCCTTAATGATCATCAAGCCCAGACGAATGGTTTCAAAATTTCCCCCCCAGAGAAGCGTTGGCTTCCCGTGAAATAAAAATAAAGCGAAATGAAAATGCGTTGGAACATGTTCGATGCTGGCTGGCCCTTAGGCCGGAGCCGCCCACATCCCTCACAGATTTATGGTCAACTAACTATGAAAATGAAAATGTTTTCGGTTACTGCCTGGTTAGCAGTTATTAGCCACGAATGTTAGCTCATAGACGGCGCTAGGCTAGGGCTTCAAGAGACATAAACCAAAGAAATATGTATGTATTGGATCTTTTCTCGTAAAAAGTTCTGTGGCGAAACAAGTTTAGCAATTTTGTAAAATCCACTTGCCAAATATGGAAGGGAAGATTTCTATATTGTATGCTACTCATACACACATATTCATCAACATATGTTGTATGTGGAAATAACAGAACGGCGTAGATTCTGCATAAAACAAAATACGAAATTAATTTGGCATCAAGAAGCTGAGCCAAATTTGGGGCCCTAGGGTCAACCTCAACATCAATTATAAATATGTATAGAGAACAACACTCTTGGTTATCATAGCCAGAATGATCGGGCACCGAAGCATATCATACTCTCGCGATAATTTATGATCTGATTCAATAATAATCCACCATTAATTCAATTGTATTTTCTTTCTGGGCTATCTGTGTGGAACAGACTGAAATGTAATAAATATGATTACTCTCTCTTTGACTATATTTCAGACATGACTTCTGTACTGTGGAGCACGAGAGTATACCCTCTGCAAGGGTATACATACAACTCATCAGCAACGAGAGACTGAAGCAACAAACTTTCTACTCTACCCCACTCTAACGCCTCTCTGTCTCCTGCCTCCTTCTTTCAGGCAACTTCTCGGCCTGATTCACCTATCTGAGGCACGAGCGCGCCTGGACTTGTCCAACGTGGTCACTCCGCAACACGTGCGTGATGTAATCGCCCTGCTAACCGAGAGCATCACCCAGACCAGTCTCAAGGCGGAGGGCTGCGGGGGAAGGGGACGCCGCTCGAGCAAAGTGCCCGCCGCTGGAGGAGGCGGAAGAGCCTCTCAACTGCGCAACTTTGTGCACATGATGCAGTTGCGCGCCGTGGCGCTGGGAAGGCGCATCTTCGAGTTCGAGGAGCTGAAGGAGATTGGGACGCGGGCGGGCGTCTTGACGGGCATTAGCCAGCTGGTGGAGATAGCCAACATGGGCGGACATTTGCTCAAGAAGGGCGCAAACATGTACGAAGTGGTTCCGGACTAGACAAATGGCAGTGTCAATATTGGACCCAAGTCCATACCTTTTTGTCTGTTTTGTCAGTACTGCGATTCAGTATTTATTCAAGTTGATGCAACAAGTCTGCGGCTGGACAGACTCGCTTCTAAGTAGAACTCTCGTTAAATGTTTACGCTCTTGTCAAGTTGCCGTGTAAAATTGTTAAGATTACGACACGGTTCAGTAGCCCCCGATTGGCTTATCAAATGGGGTTCCCTTGCCTAGTTGCTACTATCCGAAATTTCCATAAATTATGCCTCATCCATATCGAGAACTTTTATTTGTCTTTTATTCTGTGGAAATCTGAAGTTTTGTTGTATACTTTTGAGGGGAACAAGAAATAAACTGAGTAGAATCAGCTCTCAGAATCAGAATTAGTTAAGTGAAATTCAAATGTATTAACTATATGAATATATATATATCTATTAGTATAATTTGCTATTAATATATACCTAATATAAGTATGTAAAACTCCTATATTTGATATTTCTGCATAACCAGAGGGATACAAAAATAAGAAATCATAGACAAATGCCTCTGTTTACAAAGATATATCTCGTATATACCGAAGATTTTCTTTCTTGGTATTTGATAATTCCCTTTTTTCATCTCTCTGCTGAAATTTGGAAGATTTCCTAAAATAATTATCACAGTTCCAGCGACATGTTTGATCATTCTCCTGAATAGCTTTTCCTAATTGGAACTTACACACTTACTTACCAATACAAATGGACTTCCTTTAAAAGTCTTCAGACTTACGCGGGCGTAGATTGTCATCTCTTGGAGATCTTTGTTAGTCCATTGTAAGTTAACAGTGATGAATGATGGAAAACTCCGTTGTAATTGGTTTCATTTAATACTTTATTATCTGGTATTCATTAAACTACATATAATGTAATAAGTTTTTCATAAATAAATACTCAAAACATTTGCTGTATCAGTTTGAAATGCTCGTCGTTTGATTTCCGCGTGTCCTTCGGTCCTTTGTCTTTCTTTATCTTATGTCTTATGTGTCCTGGGTATCCTAAAGTAAAGTATGTATGTATGTATATGTCTTGCCTGCTCTGAATGCATTACATCTACATATTTATGTTTGTATGTATGTGGTAGTCGTCGCAGTAGTAACTATTTGAAAAGCTCTGGTGTTTTGGGGTTACACTAGAGTGGGGGTGCAGGGTGAAGGGTGGAGGGGAGGCGCCTTAAGCGTAAGTGGGGGATTATCGGATCATCGTACACATATTAGAGCTATTTTGACCGTGCCTTGAATTCGCATTCAACTATTTACAATATTGCTAAGTGTAGTGCTAATTTAATATTTGGCTTATCCTTTTGCTACTCTGTTTCTCATTTAAAACTTATAGCTATGCATAAGGTTAGGGATTTAAAGGGGCTATGGGGGCTAAAGGTTAAGGTATATTAGGCTCTAGGTTCGGTTACAGTGCATGCGATCGAGGGAAGTAGTAGTAGTAGTAGTTATATGTACTCGTAATATATTTGCATTCGTTTTGGTTTTAGTCAAGTAATCAGTCTAAACAAATCGATGCGAAGGCAAACGAAAACGAATTCAAAATTTATCTAACTTGCTGGCTATATAGTAATAAAGGTAAGTATATTTGCATCTAAAAATTTGTTGGCTATCATCCAGCATCCAGCTAGTCCTCAGTCCAGCCTAGTCTGTCTTTAGTCAAAGATTATTGCACTAAAAAGCGAGTGCCTAAAATCTGTGGAATCTATGGAGCGGGCGAATGGGTGGGTAGTGTGGCAAATTGGCTAAAACGGAATGCATAACCCTGGGGCAGTCGAGAGTTGGATCAACAATATGGTTTACATGTATGTACTACGCGCTTTGTACTTTTAAAAAACTGCTAGAGAGAGAGACAGAGAGAGGGAACTGCAGACGAGAACTATGTATATAAAGCTGAGAACTTTCGTCGTATTTTCCGCTTAAAACTAAGATTTCAGGGGCCAAAAAAAACAACTCAATGCAATACACTGAATAAATAAAATACACAATAAATAGATTCAGATTCAGATGCCGATTCCGATTAAGAGAGAATGAGATTCGGACTCCGGCTGCTTCACGATCTGTCGCTGAAGGTGAGGTTGAAGGTCCGCAGCTCCATCGGCTGCAGGCTCACTTCCGCCAGGGAGCGGATGCGGAAGTTCTCCTTTGCCTTCACCTTTGTCTGCTCCAGCCCCGTCAGGCTGGTGGCCTCGATGCTGTGCAGACTCAGTTGGGCCAGCTGCACGGGGCCGAGTCCCCCGTTCGAGAGCGGACAGACGCTGTCCAGACCCAGCTCCCTGCCACCAACGGCACTCACGCTGCAGTCGAAGCCCTGCCGATGGAGGACCATCAGCGCCGAGGCGGACGGAAACAGCTGCAGCTCCGGGTCGGAGAGGGTGCGCAGGGTGGTCAGGTGCACGTCGCAGGGCAGTGCCCCCTTGGGCAGCAGCCGCACCTGGGCCTGCAGACCCGCCAGCGGCTGCTCCACGCTGCTCAGGAAGTACAGATTCGGCGGGTAGCGCAGCGCATTGGCCAGCATCTGGCCCTGCATGCTGGGCACCTGGTAGCCGGGCGGCTTGGCAGCGTGCTGGCCCCGCGGCATGTCCTCCACCAGCAGCCAGAACCTGTGGCGCGTCAGGTGGCTGTCGACCACGCCCTCGCCCATGCCCCTGTAGTCGTCGTAGAGGGTCCGCCGATCGAGCATCACCTCCAGTTGTCCTGGCTCGTAGCTGGCCGCTCCCTGGGCGTGGGTGGTGAGCAGAGTGAGGCGCAGCCGCGAGTCCTGGATGAAGGCTCCCGAGGTGATGGGGAAGTAGTTTCCCTCGATGCCAATGGCCGGCACTTTGATGCGTCTAAGGGGGGAGCGAATGGAGAGCGCCTTTAGACAAGGATTGGGATAGATTGGACAGGGGATTCCTTGTCGTTCTTTACTCACTCGTGGTACTGGAAACCGTTCTGATCGCTGTAGAAAACAGGCAGCTCCGGCATGGTGCCGGTGTCCGGGGGCTCCTTGAGCGGATCCCGCTGCAGTGGCGCCCCCGCAATGTTGTCTATGTTCGTGATGAGGCGCATGAAGAGCTCCGTTTCGCGGTTCTTGGGCGGCGGCTCAAAGTCGATGTCGTTCTCCACGTAGATGGCGGCGTCCAGATGCGTGCGCGTGTTGAAGATGCGCACGGTGTGGGCCAGGAAGGGGCCATATATCACAGTCACATCGCTGGCAATCGGCCCGGAGGTGATGATGATCCGCACATCGGTGTAGCCCTCCAGCACATCCTTCTCGGCCTCGCTCTGCTCGGGATCCGTCTTGAAGAGGTACGCCCCCGAGTGGAACTGGGCGCTGCGGTAGGCGGCGAATTTGATGTTGCACTGCATCGGCTTGAGGAGCTCCTTCCGCTGGTTCTTCCGCGTGACAGTCTTCAGGAAGCCGCTCTTCTCATCGAACAGCAGACGCATGTGGGGGTTCTCCAGCTGGATGTCACCTGTGCATAACCAAAGCAGTAATACGAGTGGCTATGGATGTGGATCGATCTACTCACCCGCTGGCTTGGCCCGCACCTCAAAGTCGCTCACTGCGGCGCCACTGGCTCCCCCGGGAGTGGTGGTGCCCGCTGGCGCAGACGACTCGTGGCAATCATCGCAGTAGATGGTGGCAATGTTCCGCCTGTAGCTGGCCTCATCCACCTGGACGCGGTACGTGCTGAGGGACAGGGCCTCCAGCTCGGCCACGAACATCACCTCGTACTGCCGAGTGCTCGTGCGAATGCGTCCGATGGTGCCCGTGGTGGTCGTGCCGAGCACCAGGTCGTAGGTGTCCGTGATGTTCCACACGGGATTGATCTGGATGTGCTTCAGCTCCACGCCCTCTTGGTTCAGGATCTTCACATTCGGATGCTGGACCCGCAGGGTCACGATTTCGATGCGCTTCTGCGCCAGCGAGTTGTACAGAACGAAGCTGCCAATGGATGCTCCGGCAGAAGAGGCTCCTCCGCCTGCGGGGGTCGTGGAGTCGTCCCCACTGACCATCTGGATGGGCATCTTGCGCGGCAGCTTGTTGAAGTTGTCCCGCTCGAATTCGCTGATGATGAAGCCGTGATGGCGGGGCTGGCTCCTCTGCAGCAGCTGCTCAATGCACGACTCCTGCATCTTGACCATGTTCTGGATGCTCTCGAACAGCCGCATGGCGTAGTCGCGCATTACCGCCGCCTTCGAGGTGCCCGTGATGGCGTCGTGGTGCTGGAACAGGCCCAGATTGCGGCGCGCATGGATGATCTGCTCGTAGTTCTTCTCGTCGATCTTGATGGCGTTCTCCCGCTGCGCCTGGCGGGCCGTGTTGTACGCCAGCGTAAAGAGGATCTCGGCGGCGCGCAGGTTGTGCTCCAGCTCGGAGCTGAGCAGCTTGTAGAAGGGCCGCGTGGTGAAGTATCCCGACCAGTAGGCGGGCCTGCCCTCCGAGAAGATGTCCGAGTACACGAAGAAGTCGCCCTTGAAGCTGGGAAAGCTGGAACTCCTGCCCCTCGTGCGCTCCCTGATGGCCGCAAAGTAGTCGCTGGGCGTTCCGAACCTAATGTCCGTGTTGTAGAGCCGTTTGTTGGCCATGATGTGGTCGATGAGCTTCTTGTAGTTCTGGTACTGCTGGTCCACCTCGCGCTCCTTGTTGTAGCGGAAGTCGTCGCCCACCGGGATGAGGGCCACGTTGTGCGGAAAGAGCGAGGCGGTGCGGGCGTACTGCTCCAGCAGCAGCTGCGCCTTCTCCTCCACGTTGTCGTCGGTGATGAACTGCGCCTTCACCGAGTACTCGGTGTACTCGCCGGGGATCTTGCGGAAGTCAAAGTTCAGGCAGATGAACGGATGCGGCCCGCACGACCCCTTGATCGAGTAGATGTCAAAGGGCATGTTGTGGGTGAGCAAGCTCCCTGCTGCTGCCTCCCCCTTGGTCCGCCAGTAGGGCGTCCACACAAAGTCGCCCATCTGCTGGCGGGCGAACCACTGCTTCCACGCGTAGTGGATCCTCTGGATGATGGCGCCCTCGAAGTTGGCGCCGGACAGCAGGTAGGGGACGGTGCTGCCGTGCCCAAACGGATCGATGGACCAGCCCACCTTGGGGGTCACGTTCAGGTTGTTCTTCAGCCACTGGTGGCCCTCGATCAGCTGGTCGAGCATCGGGTAGATGTGGACATTCGCCTCGTCCGTCATCACCCAGCCGCCGGTGGTGATCTCGATGCGGCCGGAGTCGACGAGGCGCCGCAGGGCCCGCTGCTTGGTGGGATGGGCCTGGTCCCACCACAGCTGCAGAAACGAGATCTCGGACCAGATGAACGTCATGTCCTTGTACTCCTGCATCTTGGTCACCAGCAGATTGAGGATCTGGCGCGAGTCCGACTGGAAGTAGTTGGTGAAGGTCTTCAGCCAGCCGGGATCGTTGTGCGAGTGCGGCACCACGATGACCTTCAGCGGGGGACGCTGCTTTTCCTTCTTCTGCGCATCGAAACGCTCCTCAAAGCCCCGATCCCAGTACTCCTTCGACCGCATCCATTCGGGCTGAAAAACCGATATGATTCACTCAAGAATTCCCTTGAAATGGGCCTGGAGATTCGCCTCCTGAATGCTTACCTGAAAGTCAAATCTGCTGTGCTCCTCGTTGGCCGTTATGTTCGTGTCGCTCTGGAGCAGGACGTAGCACTTGTCGCCCCAGTTGCTCCTGGCGTACTCCCCGTGGGAGTCGGACTCTACTGCCGCCTGCTGCTCCACTACTGGTGGCACCTCCTCCGCCTTCTGCTCGGAAGACCTCTTCTGGTTCGAGACGATGCCTGCAGCATGAATCTTCTTCTGCTGCTGCTGCTGCACACTGAATCCAGTGATGCCTGCTCCGTTGGCCGATGGTCCGAGTCCACGCTGTAGCCCCGCCGCTGTGGAGGAACCCGCCTCGGAGATGGGCGCCGGATTGGGCTGCCCAATGGAGATGTAGTAGAGGCAGAGCAGGATCGTCACGAAGGCCGACAGCAGGCCAATGCACCGCGCGGAGCCGCGTCGGAACAGCTTGAACGACATCCTGGACAGGAGGCTGTGGCGCGCAGTTCCTCGCTGCTTCTGCTGCACTTCTTCCTCGCTGGGGCTCTGTTCTACATCTGAAAATTTGCGAAGGGGAATTGTCTTCAGATCGATCGACAGCATCGTGCAATTCTTATGGTTTTCGGAAAAACTAA